ATGAAATCCAGTAAACGGATACTTAAAAAAAACAGGTCTTTAAATACAGGGGGGTGCAAAAGTCACTTAACTCAAAAAAAAAATGAATATCTCCTTTATAGCTCAAGCAAATGAGCTGATTTTTTTATCGATGATAGAGACATGTTCAAGCTTTATATTGATAAAGACATGCCCAGAGAAACTCTTTGTTAAGTATTACTAAGGACCTCATCAAAGAAAAATTTACTTTTTTTACAAATAAGAGAAAAATAATGTTCCATAAGCAAAGACAATTCATTAAGAACAAATGTAATAAATTATTTCAACTTATGTAAAACACGTGCTTTATATTCATATATATTTCCTCTTCCTATTTTTCTCCTTCTGCTTTACTATAGTCCATGTTCATATCTCATATCATATAAATCTTTTATCTTCTATACTGTTGGTCATATTCATCTACCGTATCTGTCTACGTGTTTTTTGTGTATTCTCAATAAGACTGCTTGTCTGTTCGATATGTAACTGTTACTTCGACCTTATGTTTTTGCAGATGCCGAGATCTCTAACAAACGAACAAAGAATTTTTCTCGTGAAACAATGGTGGATATCAGGAAAGACACGAGTACCCAGGACGAACAATCCGACAGTCGGATCCCGTCGGATCCTATCGGAAAAATTATCGGATTTTATCGGATCCGATGAGAATTCGTCGGAAGTTGTCGGAATCCTTGGTATCGGATTCCGACAGGAAGTTGTCGGATATCGGAAAGTGTCGGAAGTGGTCAGGATCCTGTCGGAACCCCGAGAATCCAACACCTTCCGACATCCGACAACTTCCTGTCGGAATCCGATACCAAGGATTCCGACAACTTCCGACGAATTCCCATCGGATCCGATGGGGTGAATTCGACCTGGGTAGTAAATGAAGCTTTTCAAGCTGAATTTCCCGATACAAAAATTCCAACACGACAAACAATTTACCAACTAGCAAAAAAGTTTGATGAAACAGGTTCTGTTGAAGATGCACCACGAAGTGGAAGACCGAGAACAGTTAGAACGGAAGAAAATATGGAACGTGTTTCTGAAACTTTTCTTCTGCATCCACAAACATCTAAAAAACGTGCATCAATTGATCTTGGTATCTCCCGTAGAAGCTTAGGCCGTCTTATGCAGGATCTAAATTTAAAACTATATAAACCAAGATTATTACAAGCTTTAAACGAAGATGATCCAGATCGAAGAACAGAATTTTGTGAATGGGTTTTAGATTCATTTGAAGAAGATCCAACTCTATTGGATCGAATTCTATGGACGGACGAGGCCATATTCAAAGTAAACGGTCGTGTTAATAGACACAATTGCGTTTATTGGAGTGATACAAATCCACACCTCGTTATTGAACAAGAACTCAATGTACCACAGGTGGTTGTTTGGGGAGGAATATGATCAAATGGCGTCGTTGGACCGTATTTTTTTGAAGGTAATGTTACATAACAAAAGTATTTTCAGATGTTGAAGGATAATATCATACCACAACTTGAAGAACATTTAAGCTTTCAAACAATGATCTGGCAGCAAGACGGCGCACCGCCCCATTATGGTCAAATTGTGCGAGATTATTTAGATGATACATTCTTACATTGGATAGGTCGTCGAGGAACTATTGAGTGGCCACCACGATCTCCAGATTTAACTCCATGTGATTTTTCACTATGGGGAATTTTAAAAGACCGTGTCTATGCTCAAAATCCTTGTAATACTAATCATCTGAAGTCACTAATCGAACAAGAATTTATATCAACCAATGATGATATCGAATTATGTCAAAAAATTTGTCGTTCTGTAGCTGATCGTTGTCAAATGTGTATTAATACAGAAGGGAAACAATTCGAACATTTGCACTAAAACATTGTTCATTTTTTAAAGAATATAAACAAAGTACTGATTGTAGCATGTCGATATCTTTCTCTTTTCATCTCAATAAAGAACCATGACATGTATTTCACAATACAGAGAAGGACTAAGAGTAAATGTGTCTTTTTTCTTGATAGCCTACTTTCCTTTATCATACACTATTTTTCTCTTATTTGTAAAAAAAGTAAATTTTTCTTTGATGAGGTCCTTAGTAATACTTAACAAAGAGTTTCTCTTGGCATGTCTTTATCAATATAAAGCTTGAACATGTCTCTATCATCGATAAAAAAATCAGCTCATTTGCTTGAGCTATAAAGGAGATATTCATTTTTTTTTGAGTTAAGTGACTTTTGCACCCCCTGTATATTAATACGAGTAAATGAACATCGACGTCATTGTGCACTTAATAATCGTTCATTTATTATTTATGGTTCAATTATTTGTTTTTGTATACCATGTATACTTATGCTTGTTACATATTCATTAACGATTCGACGTTTACAATTAGAAGCAGCTAAATGTTATACAGATCCCGATGATCTTTTAATGATAAAACAACAAACATCAGATCGTTTAAGACGACACAAATTAGGTTCAAAACGAGATCCATTATCACCGATTCCTAAGCGTAGTTCATCGAAAGATGTGTTAAGTGTATCACCAACAGCACCTTCTTCACCAAAATTGTCTCGTTCACTGACATTACCTGATACAGATGATAGACTAAATTCACTTCAACAAGCGTAAGTTATTTGACATGGGAAGAAAGAAAAAAAAAACAAAGTCACATTCTTTTGAATTTCTTTAATAAACAATACGGGAAAATAATTCATGGAATGATATTACTCGACCATTATTAATGCAGTGGAAAGCATAGCATTTATATAGTTCGTCTGTGACTTCTACTTCACTAGATGTGTGCATCGAAAGCTCGACAGTTTTTGTTACGATTATTTCAAGAATGTCAGAAAATACCTCGTTTCAACGTGAGAATGAAATTTCATAATCAAATCAACACTATCCGTTTTTTTTATCTTCAACTACATGTTCTTACAGAAAGCCACTCCAAAACGCTAATTTTTTTTTTGAACTTAAGTTTTTTTCAAACTCCAAGATAAATAATAAGAAGAAGGAAATCCTTATCTTTCAGATACCTTACGGTATGGAGTTCTGCACCCGTTAACTCCTTTACAACTACGAATAACTATAGCTCTGGGCGGAAGGACGACCTAATCCAGAGTTTTTGCGCTTAATAGCTTGAGCTTCACATACATCCTAACTAACGACAGGAATATATATAGGTCACAACGTAGTCAGTATGCTATTGGACGAGTGATCCGACATACGTCCAGAGTCATTCCATGGCTAGTGATACCATTCTTTGAGTATAGTACCTTGTGGATACATGTCAAACAACGTAGCCACTAAGCCATGACGGTTTCATGTAATTAAAATGAAGATAGCAACAAAAGTTAGTTACGACTCTTTTTGATTCTATTTAAGACGACTGTGAATACAGCTCATGATAGATAATGAATTAGACAGAGAGAGTAAGAATCAAGCGATCAATCGAAAGTATTTATTAATAATGTATTGATATTTGTTAATAAATTTTTCTTAGTTATAAATTTTACAATGGTTACTTTTCACTTTCGTTTTTACTTCGATTAGCTGATAATTGATCATAGAAATGGCCATTCGTTTTTTTCTCTAATGAGAGATCGACTTTTCCGACAATCGAAGCTTTGTACTGTATTTCGTAATCGAGTGAAATTCGAATCCAATCTAGTTTTAATAACAAATCAGAACGTATGATGACATATTTTAGCAAATGAATTAAATCAATAAAATGAATTCATTGAAAACAAAAGAAGTGTATACTCTAAAAA